GTAATTTATCAGATATTTTACTAATACTCAGACTGATGTGAGTTTAGATAATGTCTAAAATTTTAACAAATAGCTTGTGCAATAGATCAGTGCTCAGAATATGTTTGGGATTAGGCCTGTCACGATAATAAATTTTGCAGGGCGATTAATTGTCTCAGAAATTATTGCGATAAACGATAATATTGTTTGAAATTTGACAATATTTAGTAATTGTAAAATTTAAGAAGAAATGTTGGTTAATTTGGGCAGCACGGTGGCGCAACTGGTAGAGCTGCTGCCTCTCAGCGAGCAGGTCCCTGGTTCAAATCCCGATCCGGGGGCCTTTCTGGGTGGAGTTTGCATGTTCTCTCTGTGCATGCATAGGTTTTCTCCAGGTACTCCGGTTTCCTTCCACAGACCAAAAACATGCATGATGGTAACTTTAAATTATCCCTAAGTGTGAGTGAAAGAGTGAATGGTTGTTTGTCTCGTTTGTCTCTATGCGTCCCTGTGATGGACTTGCGACCTGTCCAGGGTGTACCCCGTCCCTCGCACAGTGATTGCTGGACATGGGCACCGGCGACCCCGTGACTCAAAATGGAAGAAGCGGGTAAAAGATGGATGGATGTTGGTGCATTTTTGCATGTAATACCTTTTTTGACCACTGAGTGGCAGTGTAAGACTGTTTGACCCAAAGGATGGATAGTGAGGGTGCGAGCAACATGTATTTAAGAAAAATGCGAGGGAGGCCCCTTGACGTGACATGGGCTGTTCCGGTTTTTCGGTTCTCAAAATGACAGATGCTCGGTGTGGTTTTAGCGTTTTAGCATAGCATTTTTCACATAAAGCTTGTAATAAAAAACATCAGTAAACAAGTTCTCAGCTTCTTTTTGCAAAGAAAACAATTTTTTAGATGAAGGCACGAGTTTCAACAGTGAATTTTGGAGCTTCAGCAAGACAGTTTTTTTTTACCGAGCTCGGCATGTTAGATTAGCTCGTAGCTTAGCTTCTCAGCATAGCTGCTTTTAACTAGTGATGTGCGGATCAATACTAAAATATTGATACTATCGATCCCAGAAAGTTTTTCCTTTAGAATCGATGTTTAAATCAAACTATCGATATTTTTTATACTTCAGTCATTTCAGGTAATGCATATCATTAACCGGAAGACGCTGGAAAGTAACTAAACTATTGAGATCTTGTCTAAATGATACGCGGTTGGAGGGAACTACTTTTTCTTCCACCTGAGTAAATGCGTTTCAGCGTCAGTCTCTCAGTCTGTGGACACAGCGGCGGAGTTTAACAGAGTCATGTGTGAAGCTATTTCAGCTCCAAAAACAGCCAAGAAGCGGTTTGTGGAAAATCTACAAAGAGCTGTAGCAACACAACAAACCTTGTAAAACACTTCCAGTTAAATCACATCACAGAATATGAGGCATTGATGAGGTGGACAGAGAAGGAGAGTCAGGTGCTGCTGCTCTGGAGGAGTCCTTCAGGGCTACAGGACTATCCAGGTACAGAGGGAGGAAATGTGGAGCTTTAGCTGTGCTAAGAACTGCTGCAGTTGGAGTTGTTCAAATTAATACATATGGTTATGAAATAATTAACTAAATAAATTCATGCTTCAATAAATAGTTGCAAGAGTTCAGTTTGGAGTAATAATATGTGTATCACTGACATGGGCACAAAAGCCTAGATTTATTTAGGTAAGGTTTCATAAAGAATAGATCATTTTAAGTGGATTACATGGACCAGGTTTCATCAAATTATGCAGAGCAATGGAGATAAAACAGACTTGGTTAACTGAAAAATATATACTACAAAAATGTGGATAAAAATATAACATATTATCTTAAACATATCTCATTATTTAATAGATATTTAATCATTTATTTTAATAGTTTTCTTTTTATTATTTGAAAAACAATTTTCACATATTTTGTATTATGTCCTGTTTTATAAGCTCTGACTAAATGAGGCCACTGCATCAACATACTCCTGAGTTTAAAATAAATACATTTCTTTGTCTTGCATTCTTTATGCAACTTCGATTTGAATACACTGCTTTTTTAAGGTTTACCTGACACATAAGGCGTATTTGCAAAAAGTATCAGTATCGGCATCGATACCACGATACTCGCATGAATTTTACCCCGTATCGTATCGGACCAGAAAATCCTGGTATCGAACAGCACTACTTTTAACAATCCGAAAACATGATTTTGGACGTTAAAACAGATTTTAACGAGAAAAGAGAAAGGGAGGGGTCAGTGAAGAGCGTTGGAGTTGAGATTTTTGTCATCCAGTGTCTTCAGTAGAAAGAGAGACACGAAGAAACGATAAAGCCGATAAATGAAAATGAGGTCGATAATTTTCATTTATCATGCAATTAATTGATTTATTGCAACAGGCCTATTTGGGATTAGCCTCAGCTACTACCACACAAAGTTTTAGATCTATATCTGTAAAGAATAGCTATTTTAGGGTGTTTTAATGTCAGTTGGCAGTGGCAGCCATCTTGAATCCTGTTGTAAATACACATCCAAATACTACAACCTGCCAGTTTTATTTTTAATGAAAGTGCAATCAAATCAATCAAATACAGCATCTGAAGCGTTTATTTCTCTCCATATGGGGACCCACCTCGTAGCCTTGATGACTTCCAGACAAAACAAATTGGGGGCCCCTGAGCGGGAGGTCCGCCTGTTTTTGTCCGAGTCTGTGAGCGTCGGGATGGGCGGAGGAGCCTGGAGGAGGCGGGGCCTGCGTTTGTTCGTGTCTCGGGCTGGCAGGAACAAAGGGTTCAGTAGTTGTAGTGTATGAAGTATCAGTCCTCTTAACAAATGCCATTTAAAACGTATAGCTCGTCTTTGCAAGTCCAGCAGACATAGCGGAATTATTATTTTTTTACACTTTGAGTCGCTTCCCGTTTTTTTTTTTTTTTGTTTTAATATTATTGAGTGAATTATCGGTAAAACGCTGGAGCTTTCTCCATCCAGCCGCTTCGGCTAGCAGCGAGGCTAGCTAGCTAGCTGGCAAAAACGCCGAGCTAAGGTGTTGGAACGACACCGCGTTTCGTTGAACCTTTCTCTGCAGGTAATTTCAACTATTTATTTGTTTAGCACCGCTGGGTCACAATGAAACAAGCCACTTAGAAGTTAAAAAGAGGGGGTGATAAAGACCGCCTTCTCTCTGGAGAATAGCGGCCTTCATGTTTATTTTGGGTTAAACTGAGCATTAATACATGAAGACTGCACGCATGGAGCAATAACGTGACCCAGTCGAGCCACAGGCAGTGCAAGTATGTTGACTGTTTGCACATGGACGTTTTATTTGCTGGGGGCTTTCCTGTGGATGCAGCTCTATTGTTTGCAGTGAGGAGTTTGGGCGGACTAATTGCACTGAGCAGGTCTGTATTTGGAGTAAACCTAAACTCAGTGATCTGCTACAAAGTACCTAAAGGATGGAGTTGTTCATCTCTATTTGTAATGGCTTGAACACAACATGCTTCTCTGGTCATAGCTTTTTATTAAGTATTGAGTTGTTTTAATTTTATTGATGCTTCTGCCAGGTCTGATCCAATGAGTTGCAAGTTTTTGTAGATTGCTTAAATGCTATATCAGAATGTGCAGATGTTTTTGTGAACTTGTTTTTTTTTTTTTAATCCAGGGCAAATTTTCTTACATATTTATTGAAGATTGTGATCACAGAGGTGTTTTTGTTTGGTAGTGGGTAATTCTTTCACACATCTGATTGAACAAAGGAGTAAATGTACTCTGAGGCCAAAGGTCAGTGGTGTTGGGGGTGTGTAGGTCAGATGTAAAGCGTAGACAATAGACATACACTTTGGGTTTTTCTGTTCTGGTTCACCTTCATTATTATGGGGGAGAGAACATGACCTGACTCTTGTGGGTCTGCAGAAGAAAGGAGGAAAAGGTTGAAAGTAAATGGAGTGGTATTTGTTCAAGAAGCTGGATTTGGAGTTCCCCTGTTTTATTTTTCTTTAATTTTTCCATGTGTTCCTTGTCATCATTTTTTTAACGTGCCCCTTTCTTATCACTAAAAGTGAAATGACATCCCTGTTAGGTCTGGGCCTACATTAGTTTTTGCCCATGTTGGGAGTGTTTCTTCCCCCTGCTGGTTTTAATTAGGTCTGGTGCTGCTTTCATTTGCCAAGCAGACTATTGTGTATAAATTGTGAATTAAATTAACATTGTGCTGCCCTCAGGTGTCTGTCTGCAAATACCAGATTTAAAAAGCTTATTAGACAACCTCTTTATTGGATTCTGAATGTGTCAGCAACACATACGCAAAATTCTAGATACATTTGCATTGACCACATGGATTTTTCTTTTAAGCCACCCAGTCTGGGTCATATTTTCATGATTTGTTTTCTTTAATCCAGCATAGTCTGATTGTGTTTAAAGTTTTTTTTCTTGAGAACAATAATGTAAGGTTTTGTGTTGGGCTGTTTTATATGCATGTTCCTTCAAGGTAAAGATGTTTGAAATGTTGTTGTTAGGGCAAACAAGGGTTAATAGCAGCCAGAGCAGGAAGATGGGGGATGGGTAGAGGAGGCAACTGGAAGGGGGAGACCACCACATGCACACATAATGCAAAGGGGTATGTTTGGGAATCACATAGGGCTATATGCAGAGTACAGGGGTTGCCTGTAATGATGCAAGTGGTGCAAAAATACAACATGGCAGACCATATTTACCACCCACTCCACTGATTGTTTTCTCAGGCTAATAAATATCGCCCTTTTTTTCCATGATGATTTGAATTCTTGCCCATTTAGCAGATTGAAGATGCATTCGATAATGAAAGCAGCAGAAAATTGTTTTTGGCGGCACTCGTTTGATCTGAGCGAGTCTCAACAAAATCATCCAACATTAGATTACTTGGACGATGCTGTGATTTGAATGCACCAAATCCAAAGTAATCTAAATCTCCTTTAATTCTCTGCTCTCTCCCCCCACCCCGCTCCTCTTTATCTTTTGCTCTGGGCTTGTGTGCAGGCTGTTCGTCAAAAACATTCAAACTGTACTCTCCTAAGGAGCCCCCCAACGGTGGCAGCTTTCCCCCCTTCCATCCAGGCGCCATGCTGGACAGAGATGTGGGGTAAGTCTGCTGTTTTGTCAAGAGAAAGTGGAGATGTGGAAAACTAGGGCACCCCTTTCATTGAATTCTGTCAACAGAACAAGCTCGTTAGGCTGTAAGTTTGATCGTATAAATGGTTGTCTTGACTTTTATACGAGTACTGTACCTTTTTTGGTCAATATTCTGTTTTCTGTGCTTTACAGAGTAATCTTAAGTTTTGTAGTAATGCAAGAATATAAAGAAGCAGATGGGTTTTAAGTGCTTGTTTTTGTTGCAGTATTTATACTTCCCTGTTGTCTTTTTTTCTGGATGATCTAAAACTGGGTATTAAAGGATTCAAAAAACATTTGGCCTATAAATGAACATTATACAGCCGTTCCATTTGTTTTCTTGTTGCCTTTAAATTCATACGACACAAACATTTGTTATAGCAAAGCCATGTTGTGACCTATATTTGTATGTAAAGGGGGAAAAAAGCTTTATTTTGTGTCTTCTGCCTTAATTATTTTTTTTATTTTTATAGGCCTACACCCATGTACCCACCGTCATACATGGAGCCAGGAATGGGGTGAGTATGCTTTGTGTGGAGCTGTGTGGTTTGATAAAGGTCGAAGATATTAATTAAAACATTTATTCTCCAATTTAAAAATTAACCATAAAGCTCATACTTTATTAGTTTTGGCTTGCACATATTTTGGTCTGTTTGAACTACAGTTGTGAAAAGTAAGGATGGACAATGTTCATCAGTCATTTGTTTAGAAAATCTAATACCAACACCACAAGATGGCAGTAATGCATAAAGCCTAGTTGCCAAATTCAGCAGAGTTGCTTTTTTTTGGCCTAATGTTTGTAAACAAAACGAAAAAACAACAAGTTGAATTTAGTGTCTTATTTGCTATCATAATATTATTTAGCACATATTACACAATATAAACTCAGTTGCACTTTAGGCAATAATCGTAGTTGATGGGATTAGCTGTCATTTAGATATATGGTAAATGGACTGTACTTGTATTGCGCCTTTCTATTTGTGCCCTCATTTACCCATTCATACAGCACTAGATCTGTACAAAGAATAATCAGTTCTGGGGACGCTTCGGCGTGTAACTGCTGGTGGAATCGAACCCCCAACTCTTGCATTGGAGGACGACTGCTCTAATGTGTTGCCTTCCCTCAGATACATGTTTCGAATTTCTCTGAGTTTTGATATAATGGCTTAGTTAAGGCCAGTAAAAAAAAAATAGGCAGCCCAATAAAAATCTGATGTTTCACTGGTGCTTTTTGAGCCGCATTAATTGTAGCATCTTAACCCTAAAGGGCATGGGGGCAAAACAAGCATGCATTGTGGGTAAGAGTGAGTAGCTGTCATTCTGTCAGTTCTAGTTAAGCAAGTTTTTTTAGTTCATGTTAAATGATGTATTCATTTTTGCGTTTGCTTTATTATGCGTAATGTTTTATAGAAGTTTTTTGAGTGTTATTGACCGTTACCCTGTAAATAATATTGTTTAACTATGGTAGGTTTTAAATGTGTTAAAGACATACATTATGACCTAAATAATTTGTTGGCTACAGTAAACTAGTAGCCGCTGCTGCTGCAGCTCCATTTTCCTGCTTGGTAATTAAGTATGCAGAGGCTGATTGCCAATTTTTCAAAAAGTTGCAAACATTGGCTCATTAAAATTGGTTGATTAATCAGTTTGTCTTTAATACTTTGTGAAAAGCCACTTGAGCACTGACACCCCACCTCTCATTTTTAATTTCAGGAGACCCACACCGTACGGGAATCAGACAGATTACCGGATATATGAGCTGAATAAAAGATTACAGAACTGGACGGAGGTGAGTTTTTCTTTTGAATCACAGATTTTGACCAATACTGAACTTTCTAAACATCTTGTAAACATTTTAGTTTGGCCTAAGTCATACCAAACAATTTGTTAAAGGTGGAGTAACATTCAAATAATGTAGTTGGGACTATTCCTCTATAAATATACATACCGGTAGTTTCACACCCTTATTGGCATAAGAGACGACCTTGGAGTAACTGAAGAACATACAGTATGACGACTCGGCAACAACAGTCATGTACTTTGTAAATATTGTGGGGATTTTATCAACAGTGAAAGTTTTATCCTTGTTTACATTTTGATGTTTCTAGTTTATAAAGTTTGATCGTTCATCTGCTCTTGTAGTTGCAAATAAAACCCAACAAATAACATCCATAGAAATGATCAGGAGGAGATGCTTGTGTTGGATTAACTACATTGTTGAGAGGAACTGTAGAAAGGTTAAATGTGTGGAATATATGAGGAAACAAAATATTCCACTTCTTCAATTTCTAACGGTTGCAGTATATTTAGGTAGTTGACCTATAATCTGTATTTCTTCCTCATTACTCTCTGTAAAAGCCACTTTTAATTTTTACCATTCATGCAATCATTAATATTAGGTGTTGTGTTCTGCTTTCAGGAATGTGATAATATTTGGTGGGATGCCTTCACCACAGAGTTTTTTGAGGACGATGCCATGCTCACCATCACTTTCTGTCTGGAAGATGGCCCCAAACGATACAGTGAGAGCAAAGTTTCAGCTGTTGATTTTTAGCATGCTTGACATCCTCGTTTTTCCTTTGCGACTAATAAAATTTAAATCTCGTCACTTTTGCAGCCATCGGCAGAACGTTGATTCCTCGATACTTCAGAAGTATTTTTGAGGGAGGCGCAACAGAGTTGTTTTATGTTTTGAAGCACCCAAAGGAGTCTTTCCACAGTAACTTTGTGTCCCTAGACTGTGATCAGTGCACTATGGTGACTCAGAACGGCAAACCTATGTTCACACAGGTGACCATTCTAAAGCTATATCTATTTAAAAAAGGCACCTAATTCCTCTCGTCTGTTAGTTAACGTCTACCCCGTTAACTCTCCTGTTGGCTAGGTGTGTGTTGAGGGTCGTCTGTACCTAGAGTTCATGTTTGATGACATGATGAGGATCAAGACATGGCACTTCAGTATCAGACAACACAGAGAGGTCCTACCGAGGAGCATTTTGGCTATGCATGTGAGTACTGGGGTGAAACGACTAAAACAAATGACATATTACTTACAATTGATTAATTATGCTTTATAATCCAATCACCCAGGATCCCCAGATGCTCGATCAGCTGGCAAAAAATATCACCAGATGTGGGCTGTCCAACTCCACGCTCAACTACCTCCGTGTAAGCAAGTTTTTCCTCTGATTGTATTGCAGTAGTCCCTCGTTTGTCGTGGGGGATCCGTACCCTGAAGCCCCGCGATAAAGTGACAAGCGGCAAAGTAGTATTTATATATTTTTTAATTAATTTATTTTATTTTTTAAGGCGTTTTAATCTCTTCCCATACTCTTGCAATATTCTAAACAATGTTTCTAAACTCTAAATGCTTTAAAAGAGCACAGAATGTCATGATTTCAGCTCCGCTGCTCTCAGCCACCTGCAAGCGCTCTTGGCCACGCCCACTTCTACGCTGTGCATGGAGAACAGCAGATCAGCTGCAGCAGGAAGTTTATCCTGCAGTAAGGGCTGCACAAAGGTGCAGGAGGTGCTAAATAATTTAAAATAATTCATTTTAAATAAAAATTCCATGTTGATGGTGCAGTTTATCCATCAGTCAGCCAATGGTGTGTCATGTCCAATCTTATTTTGAAAAACCGCGATAGAGCAAGTCTACGATAAACGAACCGCGATGTAGCGAGGGACTACTTTATATCTCTCAAGTTACTTGAATTGAATGTATTAAACCCAACCTTTGGTCATTTTGTTTTTCTTTTCCCTATAGCTATGTGTGATACTGGAGCCAATGCAAGAATTGATGTCCAGACATAAAACCTACAGTTTGAGCCCCAGAGACTGTCTGAAAACCTGTCTTTTCCAGAAGTGGCAGAGGATGGTAGCCCCTCCAGGTAACCCTAAAAGTTGTGGCGTATCTATAAACTGATAAGTGTCATCAGGTGATGATTTCTAATATACAGATGACATCGAAATCACCCGTTTTAATACTTGGGGACACTGAACTTAGCTTTTCTCCTGTCTGTGTTTGTAGCCGAACCTGCCAGACAAGCTCCAAACAAGCGGCGGAAAAGGAAGGTGTCCGGGGGAAGCACGGTGAGCTCCGGCGGCGGTGGCAGTAACAGCAACAGCAAAAAGAAGAGTCCAGCCAACACCTTTTCACTCTCCAGCCAGGTACCTGGAAGCATTACACCTACTTGACAGATTTCTGCATCTGCAGCAGAAAAAGGCAAAGGTGAAAACGACCGCAGGTTGAGGGGTTGAAAAGGGGGATGAGCAGGTTAAGAAGACATTTGTGGGGTGGGGGTGGGGGGGGGGCTGTGCATTTAAGAGGTCACAGATTTGAGAAGTTTCTTAGGTTTAGATTCAGTTTTAATTTCTGTAATTCTATGCAGAATAAGTTGATTAACTTAGTAGACCATTTCTGTTTAGCTGTAACGGGGGCAGTCCCTGGTCCTCCAGGACCAAACTTTAATCAGCTTATATACAGAAGACCTTCTCTTTCAGTAGAACTTAATATATTTTGTGGGCATAGGGTAGGGTTAGCTTGTTCTGCTTTCCTCTCTAGGACATTTGGGTTTTCTGCATTGACTTGGTTGTTAGCATCAAGTATATCAGAGCAAATGATTCACACAGCCCTGCTGTTTTTTGCTCACTTGGTTGATTGAGCGAATGAGACCCGAGGTGGAACCCCCCCATTGTGATGCAGCACTCCAAGGATGCCCACTGCTGGCCGAGCCCTTCAGCACTGGTTTTTGAAACGGAGCAGGGATTCAGTCAGGATGGATGCCCTGACACCTTTTCTTGTTGTTAATGGGTTTTATAAACTTTGCTTGTGTTTTTAATATTGTATTAGTAAGATCAATTTGAAACAATGAAACTGAACCCAGAATGGCCTTATGTTAAAAAAAACACCAACACTTGTCTGTGCAGTCAGACTTTCCACACACCCCCTGTATTGTGGGGATAATGTGTACCGGCCCTTGCTGTCCCCTTTAGGATGTGATGATGGTGGGAGAGCCCACACTGATGGGAGGGGAGTTTGGTGACGAAGACGAGCGTCTGATCACGCGGCTGGAGAACACGCAGTACGATGGGGCGAATGGTCTGGACGATGAGGACAGTTTCACCAGCTCGCCTGCACTGGGGGCACACGCCCTGGAACAACAAGGCTCCCTCCAGTCAGGAGAGCAAGAATGACAACTCCCAGTCATCCCAGTAGAGGGCCGAGAAAATTAAAACTCTTAAACTTTTATCGGCATCTGCCTGAGCCCAACACGTGAACGAGATGAGTCAGAGGTCAACATTGAGCACTTGTGTTTGTTTATAACCGAAATGTTTAGTCTTAAAGCAGAGGCATGATGGACTGATGGGACTCAATGCTGTCACATGAAGGGAAGCTCAAAAGAATCCCACTCCTGCATATTGTTGCACATATTCAGTGGTGCTCAGCCTCTGCCCTTTGCTGCTTTGGCTCCTGTTAGACCTCTTGAAGCAGCGGTGGCTCTGTGTTCGCCTTCTCGCCACAGATTGCAGCGAGAGTTGACGTGTTCTGACGTCTTGAGTGCTCACCATCAGTGTCAGTGGGTTCTTGTTCCAACCTCGGGTCTCTAAGCTCGTGCGTTTTCCTTGACGACGCACCTCGTCGTTTCTGCTCTGTTCGTGTCTCTAGGAAGAAATGCTTTTATTTTGACGTAAAGTGTGTGTGTGCACCTAAAAAACGTTCAGTTTGTAAAAACTCAATTATTTGTTTTTGTAGGACCTGGTTGGAACAAAAACCTGTACAGTGCCGGAGCTTGAGGACCGGAGTTGAGAACCACTACGCAAAATCTTAAGCGCAGACTTACACACACACACACACACACATACACTAACAAACACTCACCTACGTCTGTGGCACAAAACAGTGAGGTGCAGGAGGGAGGTGGTATGCAGCGTGTCTGGACAAAAGCACCAGATGCCACAGAAGTGTGTTTTTTATTTTCTGTTTTAAACTTGGTTTTTTTTATGTAAAGTATTTGTAAAAATAGACAAGTAAACAATAACACCCCAGAATATTCTTTGCACTGTTTTCCACTATTAACGGCAATCTATTTTTCTTATAAAATTGACCTGTATTGTTTTTTTTTTAATATATATATATATATATATATATATATAAAAATACAGG